TCGAGCTCGGACCATAGTAACGGCCACCGTCTGCTCCGGCGACTCCTGTGTTCTCGCCATCCGTAGGCTTCAATCATGCGCAGAGGAAAGATTAATCCTGGGATGAGAACCACCTGGAAGCGCCTTTTGCCTGAGAAACGATAGATTCGAAGGCTGCTGAGACAAAGCCTGGCTATTACTTACGGCGCCAGCTCAGTCTGGACACCCCTCGCCGATGCGACGAGGCTTGCTTGATACTGTTACGAAGATATCAGAACCATCAGTGATTGACCATCTTGTTGCCCAATTGTTGCCCGAAACCAGTTAGAGATTCATGCTACGTCACATACTATTTCGTGGAAGCTTGCGCACCGTCAGAATCATAGCAACAGTTCAAATTTGCAAACATTGAAGCTTGAGGCTCTTCGGATTGAACACCAGGGTACTTCGTCGTCCAGATGGAAGAAGCCGAAAAGTTGATTCGGGTGGCGGTGCCGGCAATCTGGAGCCGATTTCGCACGCCACAGGCGCGTCAATGGCTCACCCGACTTCTCAGTCCCCCACCCGTGGAAGGGGGTTGGAAGGATGTCAGTCGAACCTGACAGAGATGCATCATGGCCGCTCTTGGAACTACGAGGCCGCACGGCCAACCGACACTTTGTTGAACCCGCGTCCGATAATTATACGACTCGCAAAGCGGCTGTACTTAGTCTCTCGTAGACAGACAACGATACAGACCTATTGATGGAAGGGAGGGACGGTCTGTATGTAGTCTGTTGCTTAATCGGGCCATCTGCCTTGCAACCCAGTTATTACTAATTTGATGGGAAGCCGGCAGCGCGTAACTGATTTATTAACGGTCTTGGGACGCGTTTGAAGGCTATATAATGCTATAAACTTGCGATATAGCGTCTCTTATCGCATAAAATGAATTTATTATGTAGGGAAAGGTGGTACATGCATTATTTTCTGTCCGGACGCGATAACCAGCTTGGAATAAACTTGCCGCCGGTATCATCAAATGCGATTCGGTTTGGCGCAGTGCCGATGGACGGCAATCAAATTATGTCATGCTTTGTAATAACACGGTTGCAAGTAAACCCCCCCGCGTTAAACAATAGACTAGGCTGTACTAGGAGCAAGATCCGCGACTCTTCAACAGCTTCGTGTAGCAAAGATAAAGCTGACCGGTTCTCCTGCTAAGTTCACGACTCGAGACATTTTACACACTAGCCAGCAAGGCCGAGTGAGACCACCTACTATCTAGGTAGCTCCTGAGACCGCTACTGTATCACTCTCCTCTCGGGAGGGGTGCAGGCGTGAAGAAGAAAATTAGTCAGTATCGTATCGCTTGCTAAAGGTAGAAGAGAGTGACAGACACTGGACTACCATTTTGGGAACCTTCAATTCCTCTGCCTCAACACGCGACCGACGTAATATTCCCCTAACAATATTATTTTGTGAGTATCGGCTAACCCAACTGTACGGATGTAGCTATAGTAGGACGGGTTCGACTCCCAGCCAGAGATTCGTTGCGAAAAAAAAGAGCCATTTTTATCCCATCAAGCATTTGAGGTGCAACACTGCTTTTTCATCTACAGCTACGCGTATTGACTGTGGAGAAAAGAGAGCTGGCCGTAGTTTCTTCTCCTAAATTCAGTCGGGTAAGTGTCACGCGGCGCTCACTGAGGTTAGAACTTTTTCTCGCTCCCAGGATTCTCGTAATCAGATTCTTATAGTAATCCACAGTGTGCAGGGTTCCTACGCTAGAAATTGAAACGAACGATGCAGTGATGAACTGGGCGAGTGTACATGCAATGATTCTGCATCCTCGGTATTACCCAAGAATAGACATGCATGACAAGTCGATGTCGGTCAGACTCGAATATAGCTTAGGTGCTCTGTAAACCCTCTCATCGTGTAGTCTCTGATAGAATTTCGGCTAGTCCACCCGCACGGATAAAAGTTGGGTTCGACTCCCAGTCAGAGCATGCTAAGAACGCTTGTCGGAATGTATTTTCCCCCCTTCATTTCATTTCGTCCACGCCAAGTCACGAATATCCTGTTCATCGGTTAGATCTTCCATTTTATAGCTCTTATCCTGCTTACCTGGATGTGACACTTTTTCTGACTGCTCACCGAAAAGAAGGATATATTGCATTAGCATACAAACAAACCTGAAACGGTACAATACAAGTCGACGCCTTACTTGGTGCGGGCCGGTCTGAGAAGGCGCAGTCGTCCAAAAGCTGGTAAGACCTTGTGCACTCCGTAGCCATTCATTGCATAGAGAAAAATGCAAAGCATGTTTTGATCTAGACGTCTCAATCCTAATCGCGCAATTACCAATGCAAGTAAAGACAAACCCACGTCGCTACCGGGCCAGTAATCTAAGTAATCTATTGACAGGAAGTCGGTCGTTCCAGTGGAAAGAGAGGCGTAGCAGCGAGAGTTGATGGTTCTAAGTACTAGCCTCGCGAGACAAGTCAGTATCGATCTCGCTCCAAACACCGCAAAATCCTCTGTAGACGCCTTTCCTGAGCGAAGCGTCGTCAGGTCTGATGAGGAAGACCATACTAGCGAACAAAAGAAAATTATTCTCGCTTAGTATCAAATCACGGAGACCAAGGCGAAGGGAAGGGCGGGCCCTTCGACTTGGATGTATGCGCGTCTCCCTGAATTAACAGTCGGCTCTGAAGCCTGGATGAAGTCCGAGCTCGGCTTGGTGCAAGTCAAGGTAGGGTCTCCTGTGCTTACACCAGTTAGTCCCGTTTTAGAGCCAACCACCTCTCCAGTCCTTCCCAGAGTAGGAAGGCAGTGACACCTTTGATCGCGGCCTTCAAGTTACCTGTCTAGAAATTAGCATCAACGACAAGGTTGGTGGAGGAAAGATGACTCACTTTGGTAGCATCAACGATTCTGCGGGAACCGTTGCTCCAGTTATTATTCGACGTCCAATGGCGGCCCATCTTCCTGACAAAGGGGAGGCAGCCTCCGAGGCGTAGCAGTAGGCGATGCTATAGCACCTTCGCCGTTGGGGCCCGGCGAGATTCGCAAGATGATAAAAGCGTGCTAACCATTCAGAGTGAAAACTTTAGCGCAGGTCGGTGTAACTCCCTAATCGATATCAGGCGGTGTCTGATGGCAAGGATCAACGATTGGAACAAAACACCATTTGCTCATTCCTTCTTCCTGGGCACTTACTCATCCAGGTTGCGATATCAAATACCTGCAGCAGACGTTCAATTTCCCACTTGCAAAATATAACTAAGGGCGAGGGCGCTCCGAATGTGGGGCACATGATGTGGGTCTCCCCAGTCAAAGCTATATTTTGAGTGTGATCTTGCGTGCCATGAGATGGACGAGCTGACATTGGGTGGCCTGCATGTTCATTATCCTCGGCTGTAACCAACTGTGAGTGGCCTCTTCATTCCAGAGCCAAGTCAGACGCACGCACCTCTTGACTCCTTGCACCTTGTTGCCATATGCTCCCTGGTAGCACACAAGGTCTGCTTGATACAATAACGAGAGGGTTCGATTCCCATTCATCGAATCTGTGTTGAAAAATGAATTGTTTTGAGCTACAACACGAGAGGAGAACGCGTGCTTGGCCTGGGCCTGAGAGACTACAAACCACAGCGTTATCAATGCATGGGTTCTCACAATCAGGTCTGTAGTAACATATGCTACGGCGCGTGTATCTGAGGGCATCCTAGTTGATCGAATTCCACCGAGCGAAGAACGATACACGCACATGGGGATTCTGATATATCCTTCACATGGATGGCCCACTACATACCCAGAGAGGCGGATGTGTAGATGATATGCATGGCGCTGAATGACGAGCTAGGCACACAGGGAATCCGCGAGGGCGTTCCGGCACATTGGTGTTGGAGGCATAGGCTGAAAAGTACAATCGTTTGGTGTGCGAATGGATGTCCTGGACAAGGCCAACCAATAAGGCCTGTAGGCTGTTGGTATCATTCCAGAACTTGGTCAAATGCACGCACCGTTAGAGTCCAGACTCCTTGTTTCCCCTCCTTCCCGCGCTCTGATGGCGCAGCGGTCCTAGGTACGGGCGGGTTCGACTCCCACTCAGAACATATTCGTCACCCATTCTCTTTTGGACCACAACACAAAGACTGGAGAGCGTGCGTTTGGCCAGAACCACGCGAAGAAGGGAGGATAGTGCGGAGCGTACAGTCTAGTGCGTAGGTCCATATGATAAAAACGGACGGTCCGAAGTAACGAATCCCTGGGCGTGTACGTCTGACAGTATCACAATCAGTCGAAGCCAACAAGCCGAAGAGTAATATACTCACAAAGGGACACTGCTTCTCCTTCATATCCCCTTCCATACTCACAGAGCAAGTCATAGAAAAGAAAAGTAGCGGTCGAGGCTGCAAGACAAAGCTTCTCGTCACTGAGATGATATAAACATCGTGCGTGGTGAGCACTAATTCCCGCGTCGATAGAGTCAGACTCGAAATGCGCACTGGCGTGAACCCCTGCTGCAGGCTGCTCTTTGCTCGAATCGATGACAGCCAACATGCATCGGGCTCTTGATTTTATCGGCAGCTCATCATCTGTAGTCCGAGTTGGGCGTCCCTAGGCTTCCATTTCCCTTGCCATCCTGGGACTACTATATTCCGCACTGGTGCAGGCCCCTTGTCTAGTGCTGAAGTTAGTGGTGGCCTCGCACAGGGAACTGTACCACGCTGAATATTGAATAGCGGTACGGTGGACGACGAGGTACAGGAGTCGGAACGTGTTGACAAATGCTACAGCTGGTCTTGAGATCACAATGATGTCGATTACTGAACAGATGCGTACCATTATGCCCAGGTTCCAAGCAACTGAATGTCAGCCTGGTAGAATTCTGCTCTACAAGTGCCTTTTGGGTTCCATGTCAATGGATCTTCAGTTCATAAAAGTGTTCGGTGGTTTGGTTTGTGAAAGTAAAAAGTCTGGCACTATAGTTTGTACCTCATATACATATAGCATTCTCATGGTCCTTCAGGTCTCTGATAGTATATCGGTTAGTACACGCGCCTGTCATCACTCATAGAGAAGGTAGCGCGCGAAAGCTGGGTTCGACTCCCAGTCAGAGAGTATTTTATTTTATTCTATGTAGATGTTGGCTTTTTGGTCATGATCAATCATCATCATTCATGATTCACAATTTTGGAGTGACGATGTTGGACTCTGGAGTCCTAGGGTAGCGCACGAAACCTCCACGGAGGCACGTAACCATTTGTTACTGACCCTCCCCGGGAGAGGTAGTTTTGCTACGGTAAGTTATCGTGACTTACACATCACGTGCAAGTCCACATGACTAGCGCGGGGCAATTGCAGATTTCTTTTTCAGGTTCTATATCTTCGCGTTTTTATACATTTTCTCTCTCTCGGGAGCTGTTATACATCTCGAAGTATTGCATATATTTAACTCTACTTTGTACAAAGAAGATTGACAGAATTGTAACAAACATTTATACTTAGCTGGCAGTCACATGATTGGTAAGTTACCTCGACCAAAATCCTTCTCAAGGAGGGGAGGTAACTTACCGGTAATTAACCCAGGTGTATCGAAACCTAGGTTTGGTGCACTACCCCGCTCTGGACTCTGGACTCTGGACTCTGGAATCCAGGTAGTGCAGAAACATGGGTCAATTACCATTTTCTACAAACCCCTCTCCAAGAAGGGATTTTGATACGGGTAACGGCGATTACATTTTTACACGGTTTCTCTATGCCTGTTCTTCGTAAGGAGAATATACATGTAGCTGTAGTGATTTACCCACCAGTCATTGGGGCATGAATACATGATAGCCGGTCACCAAGTTTTATGCGCTACCCCAGTGGAATCTACGTAGTGACTAAAGCTTACACTGGTGGGCTGCCACCTGGAAAATGAATCAGAGCCTTCCGGTGAGAGAGATGACTCGTCTTATTGTTCAAAAATCGGTAGCACGTCTCTATCTGGGTCGTATATGGTTCTCAAAGTAAATAATCACGAAGGACCCTTCCTCGTAGCTACATTCACGTTTGTATTTGGCTAAGAGCCGTTTGGAAGATGGCGCTCATGAATAAATATCAAGTGAGTGTGTGGTAGGAATGAGCGAACGCTGAAGAACATCTCTGACTGAGAGTCAGAGGCAAAACATCGATGACCACGAAGCAGCTATCATTATCCCCGCTAGAATGGCGCCTTCTTCGATTCTGCCAGTTGTCGCCGCATCGGCTTCCGCAGCGGTGACCTCGCATGCGGAGTACACTGACGTGAGTATAAGATAGAAAACAAAGACGACACGGCCTGTTAGTACTTACGTTCATCCAGCTCCTCGAGCATGGCCTCCTCCTCCTCACCTGAAGCCGCACTCGTGAAGCAGGTAAGACAATTAGACACGCTCGCGTTGTAGTTGGTGGAGCAGAGGCAAGAGCCCATGCTATCTCCGCAGGCCTGCACATCGAAGCCCCCGTAACGTTCAGACTCGGGAGAACGATTACGCCCAACTCACAACAATGGAAACGAGGACTTTACAATCGGTCGAACAGGTATCGGGGATGTATGAGATATTGACGGCGGAAGTGGCGTTGGTATCGCGATGGAGGAGAGGGAGCCAGGATGTTAATCCCTGGCCAAGGACTTCGAGGGGGAACGGTCATTATTGTCCCGTTCAAAGGACAAGGTGAATGAAACGTACCTCCGTTGATGTTAACGAGTGACAAGCATAGGAGAAATAGAGGTAAGGCGCTCAACATCGTCGGCGGCGTGGGTAAAAAGTAGTAAGAGATTAAGTTGCTGAATCGATGAAAGGAACCATCCTTTCAGTGTCATCAGAATTCCCGACCACACGTATCCGCAGTCCCGGCCCATCAACAAGCTGCGAAGCCGTGGGATCGCGCCGTCGTGTTTGGCACTCTTCTTCTTTGTAGATGGTCTCGTGATACCATACGCATGAAGCGCGTCGAATACCGAGCACGTTCCATGAGCGCCTATGGACTGAAGTTGGGAGATCGGCATCACAGATTGAACCCACGGACGCGCAGCTTCAGTCAGGCACTTGCGCAGTGGTTGGATGATCAATTCACAGACAGATCGGACGGAGAGCTAGAAATAGCTCGGGATGTTTTATGTATTACATCGGTGGATTTATCGCTTTTAACGTGTGATCAATGGCTATTGTACGGAACCGGCGTATGCAACACACCTTCGCCTGGAAAAGGGAGAGCGATCTTATGCAGGTATTCCATGAGACCGCGGCGAGTGTAAGGCTCGCTCATCTCCTTTCCCCGATCAACATGGACATCTTCTTGTGTACCTGACATGACATCGAACAAATGTCAGAGACATATATACACCCCTCAGGATATCTTTAGCATTGGGATATGCCAGACTGACCGGGTATCTTCCACCGCAATAATATCAAAGCGAAATCGCTGAGGCTATCTTCCATCGCCGAAAGACAAGGCAAAGGATGGCAACTTTTCTACTGCCTACGAGACTCGAATCAGTCGATCAATACTGAACAGCGGATGAGATTGGAATGCAATACCGTGACATGGGGTCGACACAGACGCCAGTGTCGTCGTCTTCACCAGAGTCTGTCATCTTGCTTGCACGATACTCTTTGTCTCCTGGTGCAGCTTTGTCTTCCTCGGCCTCATCCTCTTCGTCTATTGTTGTCCAATGCGCCAATGCAATGCTTCGCGTAGAAGGAATTCGTGACATAGCCAATAACCTTCCCAGTCTCTCCTCGACATCGTTCTACATTCTGTATCAGGGAACGTATTGCAAGTGGTGCATGCCACAGACGTGCCTGTCGAAGGTAGTCTGCACCCTGTAAATCCAGCAGAAGTAGCCAGCACTCGGTTCGCATTAGTGTATACAGAATTGTTACTCACATTCCCAGTTCAGTCGCCAAGACAATGCGAAGAGTTCCGTCGGAAGTTCCTAATCCAGCATTTTGCTTTCAGTAGTTAGTCCTGAAAAATCCTGAATTCGGGTATCCGTGATTCAGGTTCACGTAGGGTTGTGTTTTACTTAGCATAAGAATCTTGAGAATGCTGCAGTCGTCACAATTGGCCAATGACTCTCTTCCGAAATTCTCCTGTTGCATGCAATCAATCATAAGGCCAAGCTTGGATTCCAACCGGGACATAAGTCACACCGGAAGTAATCTGTCGGAGGCCGTCACCATCCTGCACGCTTAGGGTAATGTTGTACTTGAACCTCCTGCAAGTTAAGCACTAGGGCAAAACAACGCCAGCGAATGGTTCGAGTCTTAGTTGACACCCCCAAGTATGTTACACTCTTGTTTTCATTCTCTATCGAACAACACCCCCAAATGGTAACAGATCAGCAACAACACGAATACAGTCATCAAGGTTAAGTATCAGATTATTTGAACTACAAACATTGACATCAGTCTGCGACAGAAGACAAGGAAGAAAAGGACATACGTTCTTTCCATCAACCCACTTCTTGCCGGCGAGCTCCAAATCCCAAGCGAGAGCACCCTCGAAGAAGGCTTTCTGCTTCTCATCCTTCAAATCGATCTTCTCGTACTTGTAGCTCTCCCAATCAGGAGCAACGTTTACGACGGGGGCAACGTCCTGACCACGGAGAATGAGGACACCGCTAATGACGCTGTCATTGGTCTGGCCCAGAACACCAACGGAACCGAAGAGGTACTTTCGCGAAGCCTCTAGACGGTTGAAGAATCCGCCGATCTGGTTGGAGGACATGAAGGTCTGGGTGAGTTCATCGTTGTACTTGAAGTCGACGCGGTAGATAGAGAAGCCTTCGGCGTCGAAGCTGAATAAAAATAAAAATAGAATAACATGAGGGGCGGGGAAATGAAGAGAAAGATGGCACATACTTTTGGTAGAACCACTCGATGGATCCACCAGCTCCACGGGTGTCCTTGTTGGAGTACGCCCGCTTCCAGTCCTCGAGGTTAAATGTCGACTTGGGGAGGTCGTCGAGGGGGTTCTTGACCTTGGGCTCGGGGGGAACGTCGGGCTCGTCAGCATCGTCGTCCTCGACCTCCTTCTTCTTCGGCTTCTTCTCCTCGGCCTTCTTCTCCTTGGGGGGAGCAGGTGCCTTCTCCTTCTTTGGTGGGACGAACTGCACACCCTTCTCAGTGTAGTTGATGGGGCCATAGATCTCCTTCAGCTGTGGTTGGTTGACGATGGTCTCGAGATGGCGGATGAGATGGGGGAGCTGAGCACGGACAGAGGCATCGATGCTGATGCTGGCGCCACGTTGGATAAAGGCAGCGATGCTGAGGTCAGCAAGGGTGATGCGCTCGCCGACGAAGAAAGTGTGCTTAGCAAGGTGAGCATCAAGAGTTTTCAGAGCACGAAGCTGTTTCTCGAGGAAGTAGGTGTGGGCAGGTTTGGAGTAGCCGGCAATTTGGCCGTTGCAGACATGGTTGGTGAGAACGGTGTAGACATCGACTTCGCTCTCAGCAAGGTGGATCCACTGGTCAACTTGAGCAGCTTCTTCTGGAGTCGAGCCGAGCAAGTTCGAGTTGGGAGCTTTTGAGGCGACTGGGAACCGAATATATCAGTATCCATCGTAACGGAGAAGAACACAGAAATCAGAGAATTAGAAATGCTGTCGACACGGATGTTAAGACAGGGATAACTGAAAGAATGAATCTCATCCTAGGAAAACGAAAATGAATCGCAAAACTTCACAATTACGCACCGTATCGAGCAATCGCAGACCACTCAAAGAGTAAGAAATCGCCATCCTCCCATGCTGGGATCTTTCCATGGGGGAATTTACCCAGGAATGGAGGCTTCAGATTGTCATCAAAGTGTGTATAGGCATCCGGGAGCTTAAAGGGAACTCCTCCAATAACAGCTGCAGCCCGGATCTGTAGGACATCTTTAGATATCGATATCAATCAGAGCCACACTGGACGTACCGGCTTGCCCTTTGGCTGAATGGGAATCGTCCACAGAGTAGGCGTCGACATCTTTTAGTACGGGAAAAGGAGAATCTGAAGGTCGTGAAGAAGGGCGGTGGTGGGGGAAAGAAATCAAAAACGAAAATTTTGTGATTCAGAAAGGTACGCCGTCACGTGCTTACTTTAGGGCCG